ATAAAAATTATGAAAACAGTAAAGAACTGATAAAAAGACATTAATCAGACATTTTATAAGCCGAGACATATAATTAATCCATATGAAGAGAGTTCATCCTTACAAATAATTAATATTAAAAATGAAAACACCATTGCACTTACTAAATTAGAAACATCTTAGTATAACAATCCCTAACCTTGAAAACTATATTCTCATATATGTTGCTGGCAGAAACGTAAATTGGAGCATACTTTATGGAAAATAGTTTAACAATACATGCTAAGAGTTTTAATATAGAGTTTTAATAAAGCACCATGACCAGAGTTTCAAAGCCTTCCGTGAATAAAAGGATGTAACCAGAATGTCAACAGATGAGAGAAATAACAGACATCAGCTCCTAGCATTTCTCTTCCAAGTTTACCTGACTTCCTACATATTAATAAAAAAATTTGCATTTCTAAAATATTATGATACTTCTACTTTAATTCTGAAATTGGTAAAGGCTACTAGGTAATAGAGAAAATACTACTTTGACAGTCAAATGAATGAGAAACTTCATTAAAATTTGTAAAGCCACACTTTGTATATGAAAATATTTGATCACTTCAATCTCATGAAGGGGTAAAGGTTTTCAAAGTATGACAGCAGATGAGGGTGAATATTCACTTTACAAAAATATTCAGATTCCATTAAATAAGATCCTTTATATTTTAAATAATGTGATTTATATAAAATGTTTCAGGAACACATTTTTCATAAAACAAGGCATATCTATGTTAGGTTATTTTGGCTTGTCAGACCCACCAGTCCAAGAACAAATGTGTTCTGCACAATTATTCCAGACAATTTAGCACTTCCTTGGTGACTCTCTGAGTTTCCTAATGGCTCAGCAGGAAAACTGCCAACCTACTCAACAGTGAAATTCTTCAGCAGGTGCAATCAAAATCTCTTCCAGAGGCAAATCTGGAGTGAGTTTTCTGCCTAGGTGGATTTATTTTCTGCAGGTGATGGTGTGCTGAGTGAACACATTTCTAATTGTATGTAAATGTGGAAAATTGTTTTCACTCTGTGAATTGGGCCTCCAAAAGTTTTCAATCACCCTTATCAGTAAAATATGTAATTATATCAAAATATGTATATATTTCAATAATTATAAAAAAGTACTTTTGTCAGTTCACACAGGATATTTTATTAAAACTTAGCCTCTTTCTTACTTTTTCAATAGCAATAGAAATTGAAAGTCTAATGTTCCCCCCAACCCTAAAAAACTGTCTTGTATACTACTCTTCTCTTTGAACACCAATTCTAGAGAAACTGAAAGAAATTTTGTTTATACATGAGTGTCTTTCCAGCTATAAGACTGTGTAGAAGGAATATTTATTGCATGGCCATTAGGTACGTGGCAATCTTCTAAGCACTCATTATATTTACACCTATTATAACTCTGGGTCTTTCTTTAGATATGGAAATGACTAGGCAATGAAGAAATGAATTTCTAAATTATGTTAAGATAATATAATACATGAATAGATTGGAACACCTACAGTTTCTAAAGTGAGATTGCTACTTAATTAGCAATTCTATCTCCTGCTAGAACTAGAACATAAATTTCTCAAAGAAAAAGACTATTTTTGTTTGATCATTAATATAAACCTAGAAGCAGCTAGCATAGTGGGTAGCATATAATAAACATTCAATACCTATTTGTTGGATGGACAGGGAGAGAAGAGGGAAAGGGAGGGAGGGAGAAAAGGAATCAAAATGAGCCAAAGGAAGCCAGAGATCAAATGGAAAGTCACATTTTACTGTCCTTAAGCATTGCTTGACTATAACTACTATGTTATTGCTTCTAATTTGAAACAACTCATCAAAGGTGTACGGTCCTGCCTGACATCCTGGATCTGTGCTTAGAAATAGTATATAATTCAGACCCTGAGACTCAAGAGGAGAATCAGCTCTAATAAGTACATGCCTCCTGCTTTAAAAGTTCATTAACTTTAAGATTTTGTGATAAAATAAAAAGTATTTTTCTTATTATAAAAGTAACATAAGCACTTTAAAGAAAATCTGTAAAATATAGACATGTAGAACTAAAATATTATCATAATTCTGCCTCCCAAAGACAACCATTGTTAACATTTTACATGTAAAATTGGTTCCAAATTTTAAAATTCCTGTGATGTGACTTCTACAATGCTCTGAGGGCTCATAAAAAACTAAAATGAAAAAAAAAAAAAACCCACAGTGGAATAATTCCAACCATGCTTAATGAGGCGAGACACAGGGCTCTGAAAGAGTTTGTAAATTGAGCCATCTTGAGGTTATAAGCTACTAAAGGAAAGATAACTTATTCTAGGCCTCTTTATTATGACCCAGCCACAGGGCCTAGCAGTGAGCTTTGCACATACTATTTACTTGTAAATATTCATTAAATAAATACCTACAAAAAAAGGCAATCAACATTCTTTTTTCTTTTCAGAATTCTTCCTTCAATGATCACTTATCTGCACACTCCTCCCCAATGACCTCATCCTCTGTAGTTCTCTGCCCCATACTTTAGCTCCATCAATAATAAAGAGCTTGCTGCAGCCCCAAAGTCATGCTGTTTAGGCATCCCTAACTTTAACCATATCATTTCCCACCTTCCTCACGAAGCTAAGTTCTACTCATTCCCCACAATTTAGCTCAAATGTCATGCTCTTTAAGATGTCTTCCCTGACCCTTGCCACCTATCTTAGTCTGTTTTCCGTTGCTATAAACTGAACATCTGAGGCTTGGTAATTTATACAGAAAATAAATTTCTTTCTTAACAGTTCTAGAGGCTGTGAAGTCCAGGACTGGCATTTGGTGAGGGCCTTCTTACTGTGTCATTATGATGAAGGGTGTCACAAAGCAAGAAGGCTAGAGTGTGCCTATCCTGCGCAGGTCTTTCTTCCCCTTCTTAGAAAGCCACCAGTACCACCCTGGGGACCACCCCTCCCTCCCCGATGACCTTATTTAATACTAATTATTTCCCAAAGGCTCCACCTTCAAATATCATCAACATACAAATTGGAGGATTAAGTTTCCAACACATGAAATTTTAGAGAACACTTCAAACCATAGCATCACCCATCCCCAGCCAAAGTGCTATAATTCTGGGCTTCCACAGTACCTGCAAATACCTAAAACAATGCAACTGCCATAGTACATGAAAATTAGCCACTTATAGTTGTCCATTTATACACTGTAAGCTCTTTGAGGCTTCAATCTGTATATTCACAGATACTTGCACAGGCTCAATGAGTATTTACTAAATTTATTAAACAAATGAGAGAACAAACATCTCATTCCTTTTTTGTTTTAGTTTTTATCTCTTTAATTTACCCCTGTTTGGCCAGCTGATCACTCACAATTTTAATTATCTTTATATTAAAAAAAAATTCTCTTGGCCATCACACTAAAATCAGAAATTTAAAATGTCAAAAATGGCAAAAACTGAGTTCAACCTACTCACTAGCCAGAAAGTATCCCTGCATAAATTCCCACGTGATTAATATTCAATAAAGACTCAGCATCACCACCACTTTCTCCCAATGTCCTCTACAACACAGTCACATTGTAATCATCACTCTTTCACAGCCACATGTATTATTTACATCTATTCTTCTTTCTCCCTGAATTATATAAGGGAGGTCCTGCTGACTTTCGCTATTGATGTCACCGGGGGTGCTCCTTTCTATTTCTAGAGCCTCTCTGCCTTTAATCTCTTCCAATTTGGTTTGCTCTAGTTGCATTAAAGAAATAATTCTGTATGGTCAAAATTAAGCTGCATGTAGGGAATTCCTATTTCCTACTATGTAAGATTCAAATTATAAAGAATCTACAATTCTTTGCCTGGTTTTTAAGGCTATCCATCTCACACTCATATGGTAAACATTCTGTTTACCATAATAAATTTGCAAATTCCTTCATTGTTGTCTTTGTACACCTTAGAGTTTTTCCCATTCTCCTTGTTTCCTGATTCATCTTTCAAATCCTTGTTTGCATTTCTCTTTCTGAGCTTTCTTAATTATCTTCAGGCCATATTTATTGCTCCTTTACTATACTATCCTTCAACATCTGGATTTTACCTGAAATAACAATATTTTGGTTCTTATTTGTACATTGCTCTGTAAGTATTCTAAAAAATCTTTATGTGTGTACTCTTAGATCATTGACAACAGGTGTATTGTTCTCCTCTACTGGGCATTATCTAGCAGCAATTTCACACAAGATAATTTCTTAATAGGTGCTGATGACTTAGTGTCTTGCATCTAAGTGTACCCAATAAATGCTCTGAATTAAATTATTAAAAATTGAATTGGCTACTCATTTTCAATAAACTATTTTCAATTGATAGTGAAATAAAGGAATTGGTGAATTTAGAGTTAGTGTTTAAAATCAGTAACAGTTCCCATAATCCTACTCAGCTTCTAGCATTTGCATGGAGCTTTATTATATGTATTCTAATGCTGCTTCTACGTTTCAATGCCCCCACCTCTACTCTCTCTCACAAACACACACACCACCAAATATCCACCACCAAATATCCACCACCAAATATCCACCACCAAATATCCACAGGAAGAAACCCCAAAGCAAATTGAAAGGTATACTAGAGAATATCAAGTTTTGTATAAGTCTCACTGCTCATATTTATTTATGTATTGGTATGATGCCACCATATTAGTATTCTTCACATTTAGACCTTTATTTATAGAGCTTCCCTATGTCAAAAGATAACACTTTAGATAATTAGCAAGAAGAAATAACAAAAGAAAATGCCATAGTAAATGTTTCTGCCATTCTATATTGTCATTAGATTAATACAATTTTTAATTGAAATATTACATAATAATGTAAATACTATTTTGAATAAAAAGGTGTATATTATATTCACTATTACATTTTAAAAACTAACTAAACATTTCAAACCTATTAAAATATTTAGTTAATGGATAACACAAACTAGATTAATATTTTAAACAATAACTTACAGGATCAGCAGGTCCACAGAATTCTCGAAATGTCTTTGTAGCATTATTCTGTTGAATCTCTAGTGCTACACAAGGGCCGGAATACATTTCTGTCACCATATCCTATGATACAGAAAAGAAACAAAAGAATTTAATAAGCTTTTACCCCTTCTATTTTAATTATGTAACTATCCCACTAATCTTGGTAAAGTCATCTTTAACTTCTTTCCTACCTGTATCCCACACACCAAGTAGTTCCCAAATTCCCAAATTTTGTCCATTTTCCCTGCAAAAATATTTTTTACATATGTTCCCTCATCTCCATTGCTACCAGTAATCCTACCACCATTTTTAATGTAATGCTTTACCACCTGACTTTCATTATCTGAAATTATTTTCTAACACATCTTCTTCTCAAAGGCCTTCTCTTTGAACACAGTGTTCTCAAATTAACATTCTTAAAAATATAAATTTCAAAGTTTTCCTCCTGAAGAACATTTTCAAATCATAATGTGTTCTAGCAACAAGGAATAACAGGAATAGGATTTATTCTCCCACATTAAACATCTAGAAACTAGACAAAACACATGAAACAGCAGTTTTCATATACTGATGATAGGCAGCGCAGGACTATAACCCCTGAGAGTAGGAAAACAAATGAGGTGAGTTGTATAATTGTTCCATCTTACTGCCTGGAGACAGTTTCCAGACCATAGACCAGGTATAGGAAACACAACAGAGCTCAACAATTTCAATGAGTTGAAGAGACAAAGACTGAAGTTCAAGGAGGCCAAAGTAGCTAGAATTTCAGGGCAGAATACTGGAGAGACCAGGCGAGCTGTACAGAGTGTAAGCTACAGAATCTGCAGAGAAGTTCACATGAGTCTTTGGCTAAGAGTCTGTGGGAAGTATAAAGGAAACTACCTGAGGCTACGGGAAGAATCAGCAGAAAGCAGTAGATCAAACTCCCAGACAGCACAAGGCTGCGGAGAGATTGTGCCTCTACCAGCCAGAGCGGAAAGTCCTCATAAGACACATGGAACATCAGGTGGAGCCTAGAGAAGGGTATTGTTCCATAGTAGTTGGCCTAAATTAGCCTTAGATCATGAGACGCTCTGTACTCATACTACAAAGCTTAAAACCGTGCCTCAAAAAAGTCAAACTGATCTAGTTAAGTGCCAGAATAAAGTCAAACATTCTTTAAAGGAATACAACAAAATCTACCATGTAACACTATCAATTTCTCACTATCCAGCATCCAACAAAAGAATTACCAGGCATGTAAAGAAATAGAAAAATATAAACCATCACCAGAAGAAAACTCAATATAAATTGACATAAACCCAGTAATGACAGAAACGATGTAATTAACATAAGAATGTTAAAAGAACTATTATGAATAAGCTTCACATGTACAAATTATAGAAGGAAATAGGAACATGTTAAGGAGAAAATCAAACATATTTTAAAAAGATCCAAATGGAACTTCTAGAGATGAGATCAAGACATCTAAATTGAAAAATACACTGGATGCGGTGAACAGGTTAAGACATTGTGGAAGAATAATGAACTTGAAGATATGCAATAGAAATTATTCCAAAATAAGCATAGAGAAAAAAAACAAGGAATAAAAATATAAAAAATACCTAGGACATTGTAGGACAATGTCAAGTTGTCTATTATATACATATACATATATATATATATACATATATATATAATTAGAGTCCCAGAAGAGAAGGTGATGAACAGAAACATATTTTAAGAAATAATTGCTAACAGCTTTCCAACTTTATTGAAACCAACAAACCTAGAGATCCAACAAAAGCCAAGGAGAATAAATGTAAATAAAAGTACAATAGGGTGCAGGTGAAACATAATCAAATAAGTGAAAAACAAAACACAAATCCTCGTAAACAGTCCAAACAATAAAATGGCACATTACATAGCAGCAGAACAAAAATAAAGATGACAATGATGTAAACAAACAAAAACCTGTCAATCGAGAATTCTATATCCAGATGAAAAAATATTTTTTCAAAAATGAAGAGAAAATAAATACTTTTTCAGAAAAACAAGAGCTGAGAGAATTCACGTTCAGTAGCTTTATACCATAAGAAATCTTAAAGGATGTTCTTTAGGCAGAAGGAAAAAAATACCAGACAAAAATATGGATCAAAACAAAACAACAATAAACATGGGTAAGTATAAAATACACTTTTTATTTTTTAGTTGCTTTGAAAGAATTTATTGCTTAAAGCAAAAATATTAACAATTTACTGTAGGGTTTATAACATACATAGAAGTAAAACGTATGAGACCACCACCACATAGGATAGAAGGGAAAGAGATGATTTTTAAGATTCTTAACTCTACATATGAAGTGGTATAATTTTTAAAAAATTGATCAAAAATAGTGTCTCTACATATAGAAAAAATTAGCTGGGCATGGTGGTACATGCCTCTAGTCTCAGCTACTTGGGAGGCTGAGGAAGGAGGATTGCTTGAGCCCAGGAGATTGAGGTTGCTGTGAGCTAGGCTGACGCTAAGGCACTCACTCTAGCCTGGGCAACAAAGTGAGACTCTGTCTCAAAAAAAAAAAAAAAAAAAAAAAAATGGAAATAAAAAATCATGTTGAACAAAGAACTTCATCAAAAGCAGAACATGCCCCTTAAAAAAATTGACTTAAGTCACCCTCGTTTTCAGTAAGTAGTAATTTTTTAAACAAAAAAGAACCTGTTTGTTTCCTTTAAGCGCTTTGACATCTGCCCTTAGGTAGCTGTGTGTGGGATCATTTGATTTAATGTCTATCCTCACCAGAACATAAGTTCCATGATGTCATAGTATGCTTTTTTGTTCATCACTGACTGTCTGGCCTTATAGTAGATACTCAATATACATGTGGTGAATAAATGAATCATGGTAACACTATGAGATAGGAATTAACATCTTTTTTATGACTGCAAATGTTGAAATATAGCTATAAATGATCAAAATGAAATCTACTACCAAAAATTATAGCAGATTAAATAATAAAAATAACATCAGCTAATATTTACTAAGTACTCTTAATATGTGAGACTATTTTACATGATTTATTTAATTCTACAACAATTTCATAAGGTAGCATTATTCTTATTTTATACATGGGTTAATCAAGGCCTTGTGTAAATAAATTGTCTATGGTCACACAACTGGAGGATTCAGGATTTGAACCTAGCATCCAACTCCATGGCAAAAAACAAAAAAGGGAAGTGATTTTAGGAAGCTGTGTGCTAGTTGCAATTAGTTTGGGGAGATATTATAAGTATATAGTTTGTAGGAATATAGGAAAACCTAAAAGGTTAGAGTAACAAAAAAAATCTGGTATAATAATGTATCATTATTGTTTCACCCTATATACTCTACGCCTAAGTAGTTCTTTTCATACCCCTGTACCAACACATCTTAAATTTAAAACCACTAATGTGACTTTCAAGAACTTTAAAAACATCAGAGATTATATACCCTTCCTAAGACTATTACTTTGGAAAAATATTACTGGATAAAAAAATTCTAATTTAAGTTTGGGGAAAGTTTTCAAATAGTTTCCTTAGTTTAAATAAAATTTTATATCATATAAACACAGTAAATTCTCATAAAGACATCTGGATATTGGTATGTGCTGATTGATATATTCCAGTTCATTCTCTCATTAACAGACCACTACAAACCAATAATGATTTGATATATTTGTTTTAAGCTAAATAAGCTGTTTTAAGCTGAATATATAATCATAAATATTACTAAAAATTACTCACAAACTAATAATTTCTCTGAAATAAGGTAGTTTTTTCTTCACCAATAGTCCATATTTTCTTTACTTGAGGTAGGCATTTTTATTATTATTACAAGATTTAAATAGTAAGCATATTAAATATCTTACTGAGAAGATTACATAGAAGAAAGGAATATAAATCCCAATTAAAAGAAATGATACACCCACCCAGCTACATTCTTATCTTGACTTTCAGAATCCAAAGATCAAAAAATACTAAGAGTAAATGTCTATTACATAAGTAGAAAATACACATATGGTATTTGAAAGCACAATATAGCAGACATTAAAAGTCAGAGATGGGTTTTTTAAAAAAAGTATTTTTCCAAAGGGACATATGGGCCACCTCAAATATATATATAAAACATTAGTGCTCTCAACTGCTATTTGTTACCAAATTCAATACTTCATGATATTATATGAGAATATAAATGAGGATCAAGGCTGCTGTGGGATATGCTTCCATCCGTGTCTTTATCTTATATATAAAGTATAATATGATATAAATTAAAGAATGTAGTTGCCTTTATATTTTTTAAAAGTCAAACTGAACAAATAAAAGAAGGAGAATGCAAAAGATTTAAAAGATGAATAAACAGTTGTCACTGGTTGAATAAATAATTTTAAGATAAGAATACATTTTAAGATCTCTTCCATTTAAGAAAAGTATGGCCATAACTCTAAAATGAAGGATCTGATAAGATTAAACTTTGATAAGCTACAACAAAAGGGAGGGAAAAAAACCCTGCTCTGGTCTTTCTAAAGAAGGGTAGAATACAATCAGTATACCAGACCCAAAATAAAATATTTCATAATTGGCTTTTATTATATAGGGCTAAATAAGTGAAAGGCTCTTGGACTAGCACATTTTTCTGTTTTTAAGATAGGCTTAAAGGAAAGGGCATAGAAAAGTGAAAAGAAAATCTAGTCTCATTGTCATGAATAGTGAACCTTATGCCATAGTTTTGAAAAGCCAAAACTCTCTAAAAAAACACCTTGGGTGACAGGCAGTGTACCAGCATAAATGTTTCTAAAATAATTTGATGAAGAGGAGGGAAGGGAAACTAACTTTTAATAAGTATCTACTGTGTGCTATATTAAGGAACAAGATTTGGCTCATTTGAATATAGTCATTTGTTTTCAAGAACACATTTCATTGACCTTTGTATAAATCCCTTCAAGTCATTATTTCATCATTATCAGTCACACTTTCAGTTTATTATATTTGCATTTGCATCATTAAGGTAGATATTAAGTACTACTTGATGCTATATTGTATCAAGAGATGGGGTTTTGCTATGTTGCTCAGGCTAGTCTTGTACTCCTGGTCTTAAGCAATCCTCCCGCCTTATACTCCCAAAATACTAGGGTTACAGGCGTGAGCCATAGCACCTGGCCAAGAACTATTTACTATTAACTAAAGCATTTTGGACAGTCTTCTACTCTGAGTAAACTATAACTATTAGAAAATGTCAAAATGTGTCAATATCCCAGAAAAGTTTGTCTTGCTGTCAATGCCTTTTTTCTTTTGTTTTTCTCCTACATATTTAGGTTTAATAAATGAAACAATATATTTTCCACTGGCTCTAGGGATATGAATGCCCCAGTCACTGGATATGATCACCTAGCAGCTAGCAGAAAGAATACCTTAAGGAATACTTTCATGATTACATATTATACTGAGATCCTCAAGATCTGAGATACACAAATAGTTTTCAGTACTGTCAAAGGAAAAAATGACAACAAATTTAGCTTAAAGATCTCAATTTGCTTTATTCATGATTCTAGAATCAGGCAACACTTCATTCCACAAAATAGAATAAATTATTACAATGAGTTGAGCAGAAGGGCTTGGTTTTATAGACAGAAAAGTATTAAATAAAGGAAAAACAAAGAACAAAAAGTGGATTGGTCATTTCAAAGTTACCTTCCTTGTAAGGCTGGAATAGAAAACAGAACAATAGAAAAATAACTAATTGTTTAACATCAGGTTACTTCCGGTTACTTTTTGTTTTAAGGATTAAAGGCAGAGGGAAACTTCATTATTATGCCCATTGAAATTGGCCTATTTAGGAAATTTGGCTATTATCTCTCTCTGGATTTCTCAGCAGAAAGTCAGGGAACAACTTAGTTTCAGTTTGGTGGCATGGAACTTTAACACCAGTGATTCCATTTTGATTTTTAGTCTGTTCTATTGGGGCCTAGTATTGCTTAGTCTAAAACAACGGTTTATTATAATTTTTATTTAACAAATATTTTTACATTTGCTTTGATACTTACATTATACTCAGACACCACTCCTTTATAAACTTCATAGAACTCTTCAACATTAACCCGATCCATATTGAACTATATTAAAAAATAAAGCAAAACAAAACCATAAGCCAACCAACAAAAGACAAATAAGTCAGTCACACTTAGCACTCAACATTTATGATTTCTTGGATATATTTTCTTTACTTTAAAATGTAAACCTAGGATAAGTTACTTTTTGAAGAAAAGATGTTATTAAAGACTAGCTCATCAATAATAATACTGGATAACATTTATTTATTGAGTACTTAATGTGTCAGCATTGTTCTAAGTTTCATACATGCATCATCTCATTTAATACTCACAACAACCCTACTGCAGGGGTGGTATTAATAGCTCCAATTTGGCTCACGCCTGTAATACTAGCACTCTGGGAGGCCGAGGCCGGAGGATTGCTCAAGGTCAGGAGTTTGAAACCAGCCTGAGGAAGAGCGAGACCCCATCTCTACTAAAAACAGAAAGAAATTAATTGGGCAACTAAAAATATATAGAAAAAATTAGCCAGGCATGGTGGCACATGCCTGTAGTCCCAGATACTCAGGAGGCTGAGGCAGCAGGATTGCTTGAGCTCAGGAGTTTGAGGTTGCTGTGAGCTAGGCTGACACCATGGTACTCACTCTAGCCTGGGCAACAAAGTGAGACTCTGTCTCAAAAAAATAACTCCAATTTATAGCTCAGGCTACTAATACCATGAGGGGTTATATAACTAAGAGGGGTTATATAACCTTCCCAAACTGGTGTTCTATTCAAAGCAGTCTGATCCTATTGATCATGCTCTGAATTACTACACTACACCTCTCTCTGAATAAAACCTCATTCCTGATAACAAAAAAAGACTTACATGCAATGTTAATTGCACTATCACAGATTTAGTGGCACAAGAAAGAAATATCACTAAAGAAAAGTACTTCAGATTTTGTAAAGGAGGCAGAGAAAAACACCATTTTCCTCCCAAGCACTCAGAAAAATCCCTAGTCTGTCTGGTTCATAACAAAGTACTTACACAAGTCATCTGGAAGTCCTAATACTCTTCATAAATAATTGTAAAGGTATGCTTACAAAATAAGTTTAGAAAGACTCATTCTTATCAATGCTGGGTTTAAATTTAGTTAGGAACAAAATTTCATTATGTTCTAGGGTCTTAAAAACTAAGACCTTAATTTTTTTAAAAAAATAGCCTCAGAATTTATAATTTTATTTTTAACCCTACTTTGCTTCTTTATTGTTACCATGACTGAAGATCGCTGAAAAATTTCTGCCTATACAGACAATAATTCAAGTTGGGAGGATTTGTCTTCATAGGCAACACTACTACTATAGGGAAGGAATTCTGTTTGATTTCAGTGTTTTTTTTTATCTTACATTCACACAGCTTTGTTATTACTGCAACAAAATATTAGCAGATATAATTTATTAAATACTTAGTAATTGAGCTCAAAACAGTTATTTCCATTTAATCTGCAAAATAATCCATTTAAATAAATAATAATGTTCTCATTGCCCAGATGAGACAACTGTGAATAAGAATGTTTGACGTTTGACCAAGGTCACAAGCTTAGAAAGCAGCTGACCCCAACTGAGAATAAGATCTTTATGACTCTAAAAGTTGACCGTCCTTGCCACTCCACTACCATGCCCCATTCCCCATAGGTTCAATTTACCCCAATTTTTTTTTATTACTATTTTTTTCACTGAGTACCAACTATAGCCAATCATTGTGCTAGGTTATAAGCCCAGAGTTAGGTCAATGTTCAAAACTAAAATTTCCACAGTTATTATTTTTGAAGTAGGCTTAGGTACCATTCTATAATCTCATTAAAACATTACTAAGCTAATACTTTTAGAAAGTTTTAACTAATAATTTCTTTATAATCATAGATAAGGTTCTTCAAATATCGATTTTCTCATCAGTCTACAAGTTGTGCTTGATGACTTTGCAAGCTAGTTGATATTTCTAACTTTTTATTTTGTTTGTTTAGGCTTATTGGCACAAAATAGGCAGAACTCCAACTTACGACCTGACTCCTGATTTTAAGTGATCCTAACACTTTATAGAGATCAAAAGCAGTTTCTTTTCAGAAAAAAAGAAAAGGATATAAATAATATTGGTAAGAAAATTGTCAGCTTCAAAATGAGTATTTTGATATTTCACTATCAAAAAGGCAGAAACTTGATGGGCTTCAACCAAATGTTGTAAAAACCAAATTGTTTATCTGAATTCATATAATAATTGGTACCCAAATTATATGTCAAATGCATCAGTGAGTATAGCAAGAAGGTATGATTTCTGCCAGAGCAGATGTTTCTTCAATGAAGGATTTTCTAGGAATGTGTGAGCAGAGCAATTTTGAACAAATGTGGGCTCTGGAGGTGCAGTGGTACAAGTGCCAACAAAGGGGCTGAAGTACACTAACATCCAAGGAGGTCCTGAGGGAAAGTCTGGAAACCAACAAAAGGCACTGGTCAGGGAAGAAATCTGAACCGATTCTCTTCCTTCATTATCTACTTAGGAACCCAGAAGACAGAAAAATGACTGCTTACTCTGATTCTATTTTTTGTTTATGAGAACTAAACACATTTTGGGGGTCCTTATTTATATTGTAACTAAAATTCAATAATTGTATAAACTTACCTTATCAGCTTAAATTAAATATATCATTTGAATATTAATTTTCTCAGTAAAAGATTATATGGGTAAAACCATAAACCATGATTATAAGAAGGTTATTTAGTTCAGCAAATGTTTTATTTTTAATATGTTGAGTTCGTGATTGCACAGAGAACATTCAATGGAAAACAGTTCAAAGAATCCCCAATACACTATGGCTCACTGTAAATTACCTACCATCTGCATAGCTGAGATTACAAAACCTGCATCTCGGATAGCCATCACAATCTTTCCCAAAAGGCCTGAAAATGAAGAATAAACAGGCACAAAAATACAACATTTTAAGGCATTTTAGTTTCTTACAAATGCAAATTTTCTACATCAAAGTACTTTTCTTATATTCTATTTTAAGAAAACACATATTTTTGCAAAGAAAATCAAATCTCTAATACTGAGCATTACATTTAATCATTTGATTCCCTCAATAAGTGCTTCAAGAATATCAATAATAGTCCTGTGGATTATGCAAAAAACTTTTAAGATACTATTTTGCCTTAAGGGCCCTAAAGTTTAGTGATGTAGTGAACATAAAAGTCAAACAATTAAAAATAACATCACAAAAAAATGAAATGTCAGAGTAGTAGATACAGATGCAATTCAAAGACTTCAAAGAAGGAGAAAAATCAAATTAAAACTGAAGAGGTAGGCAGAAGCTTCAAGGGGAAATGAAGGCATGAATGGTTCTTAAAGGCTATAGACAGATGGGCTTGCATAGGTACAGCAGAGAAGCATATATCTGGGAAAGTGTCAGCATGTTCACATGACAGTAAGAAAAAATAAAATTGAACAAGAAAAGAGATTTAATTCAACTTGATGAAGGCCTCAGATGTCAACATAAGGAGTATGGTCTTTATCCCACAGATGACTGATTTTTATAACAGAGTCTATAGACTCTGGGGGTAGGGACTGATTTTGAGATTCTACTTCCTTTCCACAAAAATCTTCTAAGAGTCTTTTTTTAAATTCAACTAAAACTCTGTCTTGCTCTGTCTCTTAAATAAACACAACATATACCGGATAATCTGGATGCTCACCTAGTAACCTCAAATCACCAACCAGTATTAGTGCCTGAATGTGCAGTTTAATTTGCTATTTTACTGTGGCCAAGCAGTGCTACTATAATTGTAGCAGGTTGAGGTATGAGAAAAGATAGCAGTGGATCTATTTCTCAAATGACACATTTGTACTAAGTGAAAGCCAAATGATGTCACAGCATGCTATAGAAACAAAGGCTTCTCAGAAGTTTAAAGAAAGAAAAGTGTTGGGCTAAATGAGTGATCACAGTAGAACAGGACCATGCCTAACTCAGAGTCTGTACCATATTTATGTTAAGCTTGTTTCTGGCAAACAACATCTTTTGTCACATTAATATTATTAACTTAAATTTTATTCATTTATACTTTTGTTTGTAATGAATTTGTAAATTATTTTAGTTATATAATTGTATGTGCAAAAGCTTATATTTAGTTTTATATTTTTGGACATATTTAAGTTGCATCACTAAAAATTAAAATAATTTATGTCAACACTAAAAGTCTATGATAATAATTTTCATGCAAAGAGAAACACTGCCAAAAGAAATGGGGAGTCACTAAAAATGTGAGCAGAAGAATATAAAATAAAAGTAGTACTTTAGGAAGATTACTTATGTAATAGTGATGGGCATGCTGGTCTGAAGTAAAGAATAAGGGATAGAATGAATAGCAAAGGCTTCTGGAATCATCTAGCATGCTAAGTGAAAGAAGTTCAGCCATTATATCTTTAAGTATTTTGTCTTATTTTGAACTCTAAAACTTGGATGGCAGCAGTAGCAAAAGGAGGTAATGGTAAGACATTTCCAAATAAGAAGTAACAGGAACAAACTAGATACAGAGTGTGAAGATGAGGCCGGGTGCGGTGGCTCACGCCTGTAATCCTAGCACTCTGGGAGGCCGAGGCAGGCAGATTGCTCGAGATCAGGAGTTCGAAACCAGCCTGAGTGAGACCCCATCTCTACCAAAAATAGAAAGAAATTAATTGACTAACTAAAAATATATATACAGAAAATTAGCCAGGCATGGTGGCACATGCCTGTAGTCCCAGCTACTCGGAAGGCTGAGGCAGTAGGACTGCTTGAGCCCAGGAGATTGAGGTTGCTGTGAGCTAGGCTGATGCCACACGGCACTCACTCTAGCCTGGGCAACAAAGTGAGAGTCTGTCTCAAAAAAAAAAAAAAAAAAAGCCGGGCTTGGTGGCTCACGCCTGTAATCCTAGCACTCTGGGAGCGAGGCGGCGGATTGCTCAAGTCAGGAGTTCGAAACCAGCCTGGATGAGACCCTGTCTCTACCATAAATAGAAAGAAATTAATTGCCAACTGATAATATATATAAAAATCAGCCGGCATGGTGGCTCATGCCTGTAGTCCCAGCTACTCGGGAGGCTGAGGCAGGAGGATCGCTTGAGCCCAGGAGTTTGAGGTTGCCGTGAGCTAGGCTGACACCACGGCACTCATTCTAGCCTAGGCAAGAAAGCAAGACTCTGTCTCCAAAAAAAAAAAAAAAAAAAAGATGAAAGAAGGGTAAAAGATGACTTCAAGATTTTGAGTCCAAGTGACTGGAAGAATGAGAGCATCTTTAAGAATAAAACAAGTAATGAAATCAAATTAATAATGGGAAAAGACAGTGAATTATTTTGGGCATAGAAACCCCAAATATGCTGTATGTAGCATATATAGAGTAGAAAACTCATCAGAATTTGGAGATATAGCATATCAATGACTGAATGAATAAAGAAACTCCCTACTCAAAATTAGTGATATGGGATTGCATTCAAATTATAGAGTTAGAAGGATATAATGAGGGATGCTGAGAAGTTAGAGCTCAAATGAGAACAGATGACACACTGTACATAGAAAACAACAATTTCAATGACTGCTGACTTCTCGTCAGAAACAATGGATGCCAATGGACAACTGAAATTTTTAATGTGCTACAAGAAAAAAAATTTCAACTTGAAATTCTATATTAGCACAAAATCCTTCAGTAATGATAGTAAAATAAAGACATTTTCAGATAGAAGAAATCTAAAGGAATTTGTAGCCAGCTAACTCATACTAAGATAAATGCTAAAGGAAGTTATTCAAACTGAGGGGAAATGAAATGGAATGGAAACAGGATCTTCAGGAAGGAATAGTGAGTATAAAGATAAATATATGGATAAAAACAAAAGACTAGTTTTTCCTCTTATTTTATTTAAAATATACATGACTGATTAAAGCAAAAATATTAACATTGTACTGTGTTGGCCTTAAAATGTCTATATTTGTAATACATGTTAGAAATATAGCATAAACCTGGGTAAAAGGTGATACATGAACCTATACCATTGAAAGATTCCTACATTTTAAGTGAAGCAGTACAATATTATTAACTCTAAGTAGACTGTGAAAATTGAGGATGTATATTTTATTCCTCAGAACAGTGATTATCTGAGAATAGTCCCCAAACTAGCAGCATCAATATCACCAGGGAACTTGTTAGAGATACAAATTTTCATGACCAACCCTAGACTCATTAAATCACAAACCCAGGGAGTGGAACCCAAAAATTATTGTTTTGACAGGACTTGCAGGTCATTCTGTCACATGCTCAAGTTTGAGAACCACATAATCTGAGTAACCACTTAAAAAGATAAAAGAAATAAAAAGAAAAGATATTTACCTAAAAGGCCAATGAATAACTTAAAATGGGATTCTAAGAAATATTCAATTAATCTAATAGAAGAAAGGAAAAGATAAAGTTCCAGATAAAAACAGAAGGGGGAATAGAAAACAAATAGAACAAATATAAAATAGTATACTTAAAACCAATCCCAATTACATTAAATGTTAGTGCACTAAAAATTCCCATTAAAAGGCAGAGATTTTGGATGGCTTAATAAAATAAGATCTAATTATATGCTGCATATTAGAAACCAACTTTAAATATAAAAACACAGGTAGGTTAAAAGAAAATGGATGGAAAAAAACAGTAAACCATGTAAACAATAAGTATAAGAAAATGGGAGTCATTATATTAGGTTCAGATAAGTTCATTATATTAAGTTCAGAATTTATGATAAAAGGATATTGCCAGAGACAAAACTCCAAAAAGGCATCTGCAGCCAATGTTTTATACAGAGAGCTGGAGGAGAATAAATATTCATGGCAAAAGGAGCATTACGCAAAGGTGCAGAGGTGAAAAATAGTATGGTTCTCTTGGAATAAAAATATTTTCATCTCACTGAATCAGAGGGTGGAGGGGAAGAGGGTAGGAAAAACGGTAGAATCAGTGGCAGGAGTCATGATAACCATACACTGAGGTTTCAATTTTATCCTGCAGGGAAGAAGTTCTCAAACTTTATTGGCTAATGGCCCTTTTAGCTCTAGGAAATTACTGAAGACTCTAAATAACTTTTATTTATATAGATATCAATATTTATTATATTATAAATTTAAAATTTTTAATATTAATTTAAATGTAACAAAATCCTTTATATGTTGTCATAAATATGTTTTGTGAGAAAAAAATGACAATTTTTTTTAATTAGGGAGAAGAGTCACATTGTTTTACATTTAAAAAAATCTCTTTAATGTCTGATTTAATGGAAGGCAGCTGGATTCTCTCATCTACTTCAGCTTTCAAACTGCTGTAATATGTTGTTTAGGTTGAGGTATTTTTAGTTTGAAAATGGTAGACTATTTGAATAGCCTTTTACAATAAGCCTTATTTACTTGACAAATGGTAGTTTCTTAAAAATTCATTGCAATGTATAATCTAAAACCCATATCAATGAACTTTTTTTTACCTTGTTACATTAAAAGCCATTGGTCTATTTTGTATGGACTTTGAATGAATCTTTGACATATACATGATTTGTAATACCACACATTGATCATTTGGCAGATACTGTTTCATTGAGTAATACAGATTTTCCAAATGCTAATTTATTTTATTACACATCAAAAAAATCACATTTGTCAATATCACCATCAATTCTATTAGAGTAGTCTTTCTATTCTCTTATACAATGTATTCAGAAGTTGTCAAACTCAAGGTGGTGAATATAGTTTTCCAAGGTTATAATTTTTATTTTCATTTGTAATTTATCTTCACTTGAATTTTATCTTTGGCAATAACGATTGTCAATTGTTTTCTTTGAAATGATAGGTTTACTCAATTTTTTTAAATATGCCTGTTATATACCCAAAAGTTAACAAAATTAA